TGTCTAAAAAATTAAAGAATAATTACTATAATAATACTAAACAAATGAGTGTTTGTCTATAATTTAAGAACATTTTGTATTTATAATACAGTATAAAATGTCAAATACCATAAAAAATTGTATGCAAAACTATCTACGGGCAATGTATGATGTAATATTGCTTAATAATCATAAATAATTCTAAATAAAATATATGTAAAATATCCTCCTTATACCTAAAATATTACGTAATATCGCTCGTTACCCTAAACTGATATCAGAATATTATAAATTATATATATATATTTTTTTTTTACATATAAAAAGTTTAATTAAGAAGATAGGAAATCAATCAAGTGGAAGATTTTCTAATGACAGATCGAATTGTTTGGTTATATATACTACAAAATTGATAATTTTAGGATTGTTAAAAAAATTTGCAATTTTTACATTACTATAATAATATGATACATTCTTACCATTTGTATCATTTTCGAAATCTTCAGAGTTAGAATCAGTAATATTAAATTTAGCATTCTTTAAATCTGGAAATTGCAAAACTCTACTTGTATACACAGCATCAGGATGATGGATCTCATCAGTATGTAAAGTAGGCACAACACCGTTATTAATCTCTTGATCATTCATTAACATTTCTAATTTTTTAACTAACTCGTCTGCATTCGGTCGTCTTTCTGGATCTTTGTGCCAACAGAGTTTCATTATCTCAGCATACTTTTTAGGTGTTCCTTCTAATATTTCCGGTCTTAATCCCCTGGAAATATCCAGGGCCAATGAAGCATCATGAGCATAACTATAATCTTTGTGGAATATATAAATTAGTACTTGATTTACTTTTTTTTCTTTAAAAAAAAAGGTTGGATTATATGACATACATGGTTTTTTTAAAGTAGAAACTTCATACATAACCATTGAGAAGCTATAAATATCAGATGCTTTTGTGTAAGGATTACCGAAGAGAACTTCTGGGGCAACATAAGGAAGGACACCGAAGACAGGCTTTTCATCTGAATTTTTTAATTCTTCCTTAACAGGTCTACATAAGCCCAAGTCACCAATGGCAGGTCGACTATGATGATTATATCAATTAAAATATATCAATTAAAAAAATTAATTTCAACATAACAAATATAATAAGCCTAAATACCGTGTAAATGTGTGAAACAAGATGTTTCCACTATGAAAATCTCTGTGCACCAGATCTGCATCATGAATTGCTTTTAATCCTTGAGCAATATACCATAGCTCGCGAACTTTACGATACCAATCTGCATTTAGCATATGACTACGCAAAAAATGGGAAAGATCACCCTGCTTCGCGTAATCCATAACCATCATATAATCTTTTGTATCTGGGTGTTGGGTAATACCATAGCACGTAAGCACTAGTCCAGAAGAAAGACATTTATAATGAGCTCTGAGCTAAAATGGAATATGAGTTAGAATTTTAATGAATACTAGTAATTAACAAGTAATGGCTAACCTCATGTAAAAATTCCGGTCGGATATCTTTAGAATCGTTCAGCATTTTTAATGCAACCTTACAAGCACCCTTTCTTTTCCACATACTTCCTAAGAAACCTTCAGCATTTGGAACATATTCCCATCTAGGACCATCGATCCAAAGTGCAGAATAAATACTTCCAAAACCACCTTTAGCAATATATTCAATGTTTTGAAATCTTTTATAAGGTATCCATTCTAAATAACCAGCCCACCAAGTAGAATTTAATTGTGTTTCTTGAATAAAATCCTCGAGATATCTGTTTCCGCTTGTCCAAGTCGAAAAATTTTCACGGAATCTTCGAGATTCACAGTTTTGACACCAGTATCCTTTGTTGTAAATAGAGGATTGTTTAGATAAATGAAAAATAATGGGAAAAGAAAATATAAATCAATACCTTTTGCGGTTCGCCGACGCCAACAAACAGCACACCTCACAATAAACTTTGGGGGTAAGTTAAAATTTATATTCCAGTCTTCAAATAATAATGAGGATTGGGAAGGTTCTTTCTTTGTATTTGTAGACTTCGCTCGCATGGCTGTCTTGGCGAGCACAAGAGTGGCAAGGACACTAGTAGCTATCATTGATCATGTAATTGAAAGAAAGTTGCATAATGATATTTATTTTATTTATTTCACAAAATTAAAAGAAAATTTTATGTTACATTTCGAAAATAATGTTAGTCACGAGACCAGTTGATCCATCTTTATTTCTGTATTTCGAATTGAGATTTGCACTCCATTATTAATTTTCATTTAACCAATTATATTACCATTACCGTTACATGAATATAGTTATCATTTTAACTAATGAAGGTATGCCCGGGACTATAATGCCAAGTTTTCTAATCATAATGGAATATATTTGTTTTTTACGCCACTAAAATTTTTGTATGATTCAAGAAAATATAAAATCGAATCCGGATTAAAATAAAACGGTTTATTTATAAAAAAATCTGGAATTAAAATAAAACGGTTTATTTATAAAAAAAATCTGGAATTAAAAATCGGATTTAAAAAAAAAGTTATTTTGGAAAATCGGTTTATCTTAAAAATTCCGATATTTGTATCTCAACCCCTAAAGTTTGTGTATAATTCCGGTTATGCCAATCAAGTTTACTATTACTTGAATATGTTATAAAATGATAAGTAAATGATCGGCTTTTTTTTCAACGAAATTGTAAAAATACATGCTCATTAGTTGTTGTGAATAAAAGGTATAAATATAATTTAAAAAAAGCGATGCCAACGAGATCACATATCAAGGAGGCAGCGGGATGATCATGTGATTTTTAGAAAATCATGTCTATGTAAAACATAATGGTAATCAAGGTCAAGAGAAAATTATTTTTAACAAAATAAATTATTTTTATAAAAGCAAGATTTATAAGTAAATAATTATTACAAAATCTCAAAATCAATTGATTGTCCCACTGCCCCTTTCGCTGTGGGATCCCCATATATGTATTAACCCAAAGTTGCATTTTAAATTTTATTTGAATTGGAGCAAAAAAATGAATTTGTTATCAAAAATCTGCTAATATTGTGGTATATACTAAAAGAATACATACGTATTTGCACTTGACAACTATTATTTTAGATTTAGAACTGACTGAAGTGAAGAGTCAATAACCAACGGGAAAAGTCAGTGACTGCCGGGAAGAGTTTTGAACCAACAATATAAAGAAAAAGTATACAATATAAAGAAAAAGTATATAAGCGATACTTTCCTGGCGTAATTTGGAGAATAAGCCGAAATGTTTCTACGATAGTAGAATAGAGTTAGTATTAATAAATAATTATATTTGTAATATTACTTATCGTAGTTAAACGTTATCTCTAAATATAACGCTATTAAAAGTTCCTTTAATGATAAACAAACTCAAAAAACAAAAGAATAAATTACTGTTAATGATAATTCATTTATAGAACTAAATCTACTTTATTAAAATCTACAAATATACTTATCTTCGAATCCACATATTTTTGCTAACTATGTATTAGTAGAATAGTTGTACGTATAAATTATCTATTTACTGTATATTACAAATAGAATTTCATGATCTATAATTAGAATCTTTACGCACTATAAAGTAGCCAGTTAAATTAACATAGATAACAAATCTATGAATTCACGAATTTTAATGCATTGGTTAAAAGATCTTTATACATAATTAA